TGAGTTAAGACAGCGGTCAGTGAAAGATTAGTTGTTTCGTGAACGGGTGTCACCAGATGTTCTTGAATGAATTGCAGTGTTCGCTTTGTTCACTAGTGAATTAATATATTGTGTTCCTCCGATCGCACTGTATCGCTCGTTTTATTAGCATGTAGCCATTACGATCGAATAAATATCTAGAAGAATGACCAATGTAAAATGAATTAATCATCATTTATCTTGTATTGATTCTACGGAGTTCAGCCAACTACGTTGAGTGAATTTATTTCCGATATGAAACCTTATGGCATTAAATACTCTCATACATTGGCCCACGATTTCAAATGAATTAGGTGACGTCGTACACGCTGTTCTGTGCGTAGTAGGATTGTGTGAAAATTAAATATCTTCAAAAAGTTTGTCTATTACGGAGTTACGGGCAGCAAATTTAATGCAGTAAAGCAATATGTCGCTACACTTCGGATTTGGGTTTTGTGTTATTAAATTAAAAACGATGAACTATGGTTGATATGTCGCTAAATTTGGTAAATGCTCTATTTTAAGTGTTTTTTCTCTTGGTTTATTCTTGAACTTAGAGGTGTTTCTGTTCGTTTTTGCGATTTTGTCTTAACACTTAACGGACAAAATTCTCGTCTTCGTGCGCTACCAGTTTCTAAATAGTGCGTATTCTACTGCACATTTAGTGTGGATTTTGAGCGAATATAATTTTAAACCTGTTTATAAAATATTATTCTTATCTTGAAACACCCTCGCGTTATTTTGTATACTTGTCACCAGAACACAAATCTAGAGACCATTTTACATGCAGGTACCATTGTATAAATGATACTCGTTCTCACATGGGCCCAGTTTATTGCATTACCCGAGAGTGATTTATTCGTCAAAATAATTGGGTGGTCAGAAAATTGTAGCTGCCATATGTTTGTAGACATCCACGAAAAATGCTGTTGTGGGCTGAGCTCAAATTTGCTTTTTGTGCTCTGAATCATTTGAGGATAAGGCAGTGTAAATAAATGAACATTTACGAAAGTCTTTCACAGCCAGTGATATTTTGTGGAAATTGTGTAATGCAGATCACATCTGCAGTGGTCACCTTTTGGGGAATATCATTGTGTTGCTACATATTTTTGTAAATGAATATCTCTGTTCACTCGTGTGCAATTGTTTTTCATATTACAGGGGTTGACATTCGGATATAAAACGTGTGAAGATTTTGAGTATGAATCCCCTGAGACCAACCTTTCTTTGTGAATGCATTTTATATTACATAATGTAAAACACGTTTCAGAGACTGTAATTATCCATACACGAGGGTTTTCTGTTATCTAACTTTCCATATTATGTTGGTGATACTGAAAGAATGCACTCAAACATAACTTAGTTTTCATATGAAAAAGGTTGTTGTTGTTGTTTTTGTTTGTTTTTTTTTGTTTTTTTTACTACGTGACATTTATGTGGACTTCATTGTATTCCTATTGTAATACGGATTATCCCTAGGTTTTCATAATACAATCTCTTTAAAACTTTACAGGGTTCTTCCGAGTGTTCTGTTTCATCCTCTTTTTCATTGGCATTGTATTACCTACTTCATTTAAAAAAGATATTGGATTTTACTTCACGCTATCTTTCAAGTTATCCCACCTCACCCAGGCACCTTTCGTTTTACAAACAAGACCACTGCTTTTGAAGACAATGATGAAGCTACTGAGAGACAGAAGAAGGAGGACAAATCGCCACTGCCCGGGCAGTTGGCGTAGGGTGCTCGCACGTCCCGGAGCAACCTTGCGGCCGCCAGCGCCGCGCCGGCTCGTGAGCGCAGGCGAGGCCAGCGCCATATCAGCGCACATTGGCGGCAGACGCGCGTGTCGCGGACCGTCCGCCCGTAAACATTGCGATAGTTCGCAGCTACCGCCGCGACACGTTCTGTCGAACCTTCGCCGCGACCTCGATTCGCAGAGTGGCCTGTATAATCCGGCGATGTTGAGCCAACCATGAGCGAATGGGATTATCTCTGGAATGTGCTGATAGTATTGATAACATCTCGCGTCCTTGCTGCTCGACCTCTGATTTCGCCTCTCCATCGCGATAGATGTGCATTTCGTTTGTTTCTGAACTTTTTGCTGCTATGCAATATTATTAGATGTTCATCGTAGGTTCTATGCTTGGGCAATATGCGGAAAGATCTTTTGCATTTGCTGTAAAGAAACAATGCGTTGGTGTCCTTCGTATGTCATTGCTGCTATTGCGATGCCTCAAAACCATTGATTGTTGATTGAGCTTGTGTGATTCTCAAAACCATTGATTGTTGAAAAGTATTAGCGTTTATTAGTCGCTCCGGAAAGCGGTGTAGATATGATTACACAAACGGTGTAGGAATGACATTAAACATTCGAATTAATCGTTATTCTGTTAGTAATTTTGTTTAAAATTTTTAATGGCAGACATATTGGGACGTAGTATGGCATAATTAAAATAAGAGTGATATGAAAGTTACTGCTTGGATGTCATTTTATTGAATTGAATTGAATTAATGCCTTATTTTACTGGCGAGCATTTTATATCAAGGTATAACTTCAGACTTGTTTTTTTACTAAAAATACTCAGTAAATTAGAATTGATGTGGACAAAGACCGAAGTGCGAAAGCACGACTATCGCTCATTTATTTTAAATCTGACTCCCTCGTGAATGGAAAGTTGTCTTTCAGGAAGATTTCTCTTTTGCTTCAAAATTATAGTCGTGGTAGGTTCTATAAGAGTCTGGTATCACTAACTTGTATTTTTGAGAGAAAAAAAAATTAGGTTAGTTTTCAACTTAATCATCCATTACTTCAGCCCACTTTTCTCATCTGTATTTAACATTTCTAGGCCTTTGAAAAAATACTCCGAATTTTTGTTCTCAAAATGTTCAGAAAATATTTCTTTCACCTCAAGTTCGTGTGAAACATTTCTTCCCCAAAGGTCTTTCTTCGGTTTACATAAGTGGTAAAGATCGCTAGGTGTCCAATCTGGATTGTACTGTGAATGGCCGAGCTCCTTAATGCCGTAGTCCTTCACAACATTCTTTGCGATCTGAGTACGAAGCACAGGTGCATTGACATGAAGAAGCTAAACACTATGATAAACACTAGATTTCAAACACATATCCATTTTGAGCATCTTTCTCCACAAAAGTGAGCGAGATGTCGGCTGCATACTTCTGGCATTACAGCAATTAAATATAATAAGACTGTAAACCGCTCAGAAGGTTTTTTGTTGATGAGCGATATCTTGGTAAGGCTAGAATCCCGTTGAAATTTTAACGATAATGAAGTGCAAATGCTCATGAATTCTAGAGCCTGCTAATCCTTTCAAAAATGAAATACGATAGAACTTTATGCGATCAGTTAGCAAAGGACCTTTTAAGTTGACTCCCAATGTTGGTTAGTTTCATGCGTTCGGTACAGTAAAAAAAGGAAACTTTTTTTTCCTCTCTTATTTCGTATTGCGGACCATGTGACATTCCTTAAAATTCAATAGAGTTCGTTGTAAAAATGCATTGATCCTTTTATTTTGAAAATAAACCTCTCTTTGGATTCATGGCATGCCGTTAAAAAATGCAAGTTTACTCTAGTTGCTTGTTATTCCCAAACGTCATAGTTACCTCTACAACAAAGTACTTAGACATTCGTTGCTAGGAAGTGAAAGACAATTTGGTATGTAGCTGGGATACATACAGTCTTCCGGTATTTGGTGGGCATAAAAGGTTTACTAAAAGTTTGTGTACGTTTTGGGTGAAATTGAAATCCGAAGAAGTCGAGTTTTTTTAATTGGTAGTTTTCTTTGAAACGGTGCCTTGGACTTGAATAAAAATGTCACTAACCGGTACCAGTAAAACGGTTTGTAATCCGTTGAAGGAAGTTCGAGTAAAACTCCGTGTAGGTAAGTAGTTGGCTAACAAAATGTATAATTGATAATACCTTGAGAGAATTATTACTTGCGTATCATACCAT